CATAAGTGGATGTGTAGAACCAAATTAAGAAACTGAAATAGATAATATTAGTGTCCAGCTTTATTTGTCATCCAATGAAAGCGTTGTATTTCTTAAAAATAAATTGTGTAAATTTTCATAGAATAGAAGAACAAAAGTCGATGATATATCAAAGTCCGTTCATATAAGCCTTTTTTCCCCATAGTACTTCATAGAACCGCGTTTGTGCAAATGGACAGGTATAGTGATGAAATAAAGTTAATACTAATGAAGCCAAATACAGCTTGACACTAAGTAGGTTTGTATTCATCCGTAGCTGTTCTACAGAAATAAGAATATTCTCCGGTCGCTATCGCCCCGTCGAAATAGAACAACACGGATGAACACTTACATATACTTCGTAAACAATAGTTTAAGAGTAGCGTAATAATTTTTATAATCGTTCTTCTATAAAGATAATGACGTCATTTAAGCACATGAGCGGTCTGGCCTTAAAGGTTTCAGACGGGTTCCCGGCATAGATAAAAAACATCGAAATCCAAATACGATTTGAAACTTCATAATTAACACTAGAAATACATAAACAAATTCCAATGTCACTCTTTTATTGCTGATACCTGCAATACTTTTTTTTAAAGAAATTATTGTTTTTGTTGGGGCGTTTCTGGAAAAAGAACGCCAGAATATGATAGGCAAATTCTTGCATGTAATTGTTTTGATCAACTTATGACGTTCCTTTTATTTACAATTATGAAATCCGCAATTGATGCGAAGGGACCTTCATTTTTTTAGGATATATGTATAAACAACGGTTAATTGCGTTTCTGTGTTAAAAATCGATTTATATACAACAATTTTGCATTAATAGCTCATGTAATGTATGCTTTTTGTATGCGTGTGTATGTATATGTAAATACAAGAGACCTATAAGTTACTGGTTTAAAGATCAATTTTGAAAATATTCATAATGTTGCTCCTTCAGAAAATTTCGGCTGGTATTTACCCCTTTACCTCATATATACGCGAAACAACACACTTTCGACCCCCCTTTTAGGCCTCAGTGAAAAAATGTCCTTTTTTGGACCCCAAACACATGTTTTCGTTTGAGAAACGTTGCTAAAAAAGTGAGCACTTTTTCGGCGCCGCCCCCCATCCAAAAGATACATCAGGGGGTTGCCAGAAGGGGGATGTGCCCCCTTCTGTTTGGGGGGTTTGAAGAGGGGCGGTAGTCCCCCTCATCGCCAAGAAAATTTTGGACTTGCGAGAGGCTAAAAATGACCCCAGGTCGATCATAAGGTAACGTGTAACCAACGCTGAAAAGCCTTTGACTCTATCTCAATCCCTTGAGAAGTTGCAGCACTTTGAAATAAATTTTGATGAAAAAACTCAAGGCAAAATAGTGATTTATGGCAATTTTGAGATGTCCCCATGTTGCCATGGTAACAGGAAATTTTAGACTGAGCATGTCGTTACAAAGGCAATGGTCCTGTCAACATTTGTGCCAAGTTTGATTAGTATTGAAACGTTTTTCAAAGTTTCGTAGCAGTTTGAACTTGTAACAGGAGGCTTTTCAATAAAAAACGGCCATTTTTCACAATATGCTCATAATGGAAAGGGTTACATGTTTATATGAACTGTTCGTTATTATGCATGTTTTATGTCCTCATTGGCTCTAAAGCCAAATGGAATAAAATAAAATGTCTACTGTCTACTATAATAAAAAAAACTCTGAGGCTATGTCGCGTAATTATATCTCACAACGTCACGCTAAATGGTAGCGTTTCAATATTAACCGCCCGTCTAATAAACAGAATTTTTTTTATTTACTAAATTCAATTAAGTTTTTCGCATAACATTATTTTCTATCTCATTCAATAAACTCATTATAGAACCTACATTCATTCATTTTTCTCTGTTATGTATTTTTCTTTCAATGAGCGACCATATTGAATAAACAGAGGCTCATCTCATCTGGTTGTAAGCTAGTCGCAATCAATTTTCGTTTGTAAATGTTGAGGGGTTCAAATATTAAGATTTCCTTATCAGAAATTTGTTAGGAATGATTTTAGACTTTTTCTTTGGAAAAGAAAATATATCAAGCCGTCCGTACCTTTTTAACATTTTTGCTCTGCTGAATGCGTTTCTTCTTTCCAATTATGGGATAAGACCATAATTATCGCACAACACTGGCGGAATTTAATGTAAAGACAACAACACACAAATGTTTCCTTAAAGTTGAGACTTTTCTTCCCATTCTGCATTTTATACAAAATATTCTCAAACTATACACGTGTGTTTTAATTGGTATATTAACAACGAATATATATTATGCCACCAGCTAGAAAGATTTTTCCAGCTATTTCCGATAGTACAGCATTGTTCAATTAATTATTTCTGACCGGACCAACATTTTTTTCAGATATCTATCATTTCCTACATAAAAATAATTCATTATCAGCTGATTGGACAAATGGAAATCCACCAAGTAGTAAAATGCGCCGTACGTTATCATTGATATTTTGTGCGCCATACGTTATCATTTCCGGAAAATGCCCCTATATTAATATTTACAGCAGTAAATCTAGCCAGAATTGGCATGATTGCTTACATGACAACATATTACAACTTTTTTAAGTCAGTGGTTTCAGTTAATATACATATATGTAAAAGAAACAGTGAATTTGAGAGAAAAAGCCGTACGTTACCACGATCAAACCGGTGGAAAATTCTCTCGCTTCGAATCTGGTGACGCGCATTTCAGATGAAGTACGGGACGAAACATCATGAAATAACATCCTGTGTGCCAGGAAAAATGTGTAGAAGGTTGTTATATGTACCTTTACATTTGAACATCACGAATTTCAGAGAAAAAAGGGAAAAACTTACTTTTTGGCTGCATCCGCCATCTTGTTTGTTTGGGTAACGAACGGCGTGATTCTCCCCCTTGAAACTTCTCTTACATAAACAAGTGAAAATAAATGACCTTCAGTAGATGTTTTTATATCTTTGATAGAGAAAGGGTGTGAATTAGTTTTGAATGTTAAACAATTGATTCCCATAAAAGTTTGTTATATTAATAAAAATAACTTTGTTATATAAATGAAAATAGTGTCAAACTGTAACAAAAAATGTCTTGCATATTGATATTCTAAGTTTCATTTCAATGAATCAAATTTCCATCTAGATGCAAACAAACAAACTTGGTATTTAGAAACATGATAAAAAATGGATCATTATAGTAATAAGAATGTGCATATTTAATAAAAACTGATTGCAAATATTCCTATTGAGCATTAATGAAACCATGTTCAGTGTATTTACTGAATGTGAAATAAATTATGATTATTAGGCATTATTAGTCATCTGAATAACCAATTCATGGACTTGATTAACTTAAAATGGAAGAATAAAGTCCAGTATTACTCTGTAACTCTAGCCTGTGCATGCCCTTGAATTATTATTTATAACATCTCACACACATGCTCCCTTCATTACAGTTACAACTAATGGTACTTATTTTAAAATTTACTATCAAGACCCTTGATATTCTAGCAGGAATTTACACACCTTTTTGAACTGTTCCTGCAAACTGTTCTTTTTGATACAATCAGAGACTGATATAACTAAGTTGAACATATTATACTCACTGATTCATTATTTTATACTGTAGTCAATATACAAGTGTTTCACACGGTTTCTGTATCACAAAATATTTCATATTTACAGGCTGTATTTATTATGCCCCCCCCCCCCTTTCAAAGAAATGGGGGAATATTGCTTTGCATTTGTCTGTCGGTCAGTCAGTCCGTAGACAAAATGGTCACCGATCAATAACTAAAGACAGCTTAGGCCTAGGATCTGCAAACTTGGTATGAGTATTGTTCATGACTAGTAGATGATCCCTATTGATTTTAGGGTCAAAGGTCAAGGTCAAGGTTACATAGACCTTGTAGGTAAAAGTGGTTTTCAATCAATAACTTGACAACCCATGGGCTGTTGGCTCTCAAACTTCATAGGTGCAAAGTAGATGACAGCTATTGATTATGGGGTCTTGATTATGGGGTATTCATCTTGTAGGTAAAAACAGTTTATGATCCGGATAACTTCACAACCCATGGACCCCTGGCGCTAAAACTACTAAGGTGCATTGGTCTTTGCCAGTAGATGACCTCTATTGATTTTGGGGTCATGGGGTCAAAGGTCAAGGTCATATTGACCTTCTAGGTAAAAATGGTGTCCGATCAATGACAACCAATAGGCCCTTGGCCCTCAAACTTCATGCATATGTCTTTGCTGGTAGATGACCTCTATTAATGTTGTGGTCAAGGGGTCAAAGATGAAGGTCACATTGACCTTGTATGTAAAAACAGTTTCCAGTCATTAGCTTGACAACCCATGTGCTGTTGGCCTTCAAACTTCGTAGGTGGATTGGTCTTGGCTACAACTAGATGGCCCCTTTTGATTTTGGGGTCAAGGGTCAAAGGTCAGGGCTATATTGACCTTGTAGGTAAAAACTGTTTCCGATTAATGTTTTGACAACCCAAAGGACCTTGGTCTTCAAACTGCATATGTGCATTGGTCTTGGGCAGTAGATGACCCCTATTGATTTTTGGGTTAAGTGGTCAAAGGTCAAGGTCACATTGACCATGTTTTTAAAAACGGTTTCCTATCAATAACTGGACAACCCATGGACCCTTGACATTCAAACTTCACAGATGCATTAGTTTTGGTCAGAAGATAACCTCAACAGATTTTTGGGGTCCAGGGGTCAGAGGTCAAGATTACAGAAAAAAACGCTTTCTGATCATTATCTCAACAACTCATTCAAATTTCACAGGTACATTGGTCTTGGCCAGTAGATAACCCCTATTCAGCAATTCATGGATAAAGCATACAATTTTAAAAACAATCAGACCTTAAGGAAGAATAAACATTTCAGTAATTGTGTAACTAGAGATCTAGCCTGTGCAAAGTTAGAATTTTGACTCGTGAATTATTTATTAAATATTGTATATTTACAGGCTAGTGAAGATAGCAATGGATGCACTAGATCAGCTGCTTGTGTCATGTCATGATTACTCCCTCAATCTGTTTGTTGAAAGCTTTCTCAAGATGGTACAGAAACTTCTGGAATGTGATGAATTAGAGTTACAGATCCTAGCAACCTCATCAGTATGTTTTGTTAAATCTTAATATAGACATTTTATCTTAACAAAAAAAGAGTACTTTTAAGTGAATGTTTAATTGTCATAAGCATGAAACATTGAAACATTAGTTAATTTTGTTAATTTTAATGCATTTGGTCATGTGATGAAAATTATCTAAAATTTGTTGTCATATAAGTTTTGTGAATCACACCTAAGAATGTTATAAAACTTTGGATAAAGATAAATATTTATACTGTGACATCTATATTACATTTATACTGTGACAGCTATATTATATTTATACTGACAGCTTTATTATATTTGTACTGTGTTGATTTTGAGTTCACTAGGTCAAAAGTAAAGGTCGCAGGGGCCTTTACAAAAAAATCTTGTCCGCCCAATAACTTAAGAATCCTCTCACCCACAGTCTTCATATTTGGCATGGAGGTTGGCCATGACCATTATATGATCCCTATTGCTTTTGAGGGTACTGGGTCAAAGGTCAAGGTCACATGGGGCTTTGATTTCAAAAAGCTTGTCCCCACAATAACTTAAGAATCATTTGACCCACTGTCTTCATATTTGGCATGGAGGTTGGTCATGACCATTTGGTGACCCCTATTGATTTTGAGGTCACTGGATCAAAGGTAAAGGTCACTTTGATCTTTGCCACAAAAACATGTAGAATACATAACTGAGCAATGCACTTACAGGCTTACTACCCTCAGATTTGGCAGGGAGTGTGTCCTTAAGCTCTAAATGACCACTGTTGATTCTGACAAAGTGGTATGCGGGGATATTCAAGCCATGACACTGGCATTTCTAGTTATCAATATTTGAAATACTTATTGAAAATGTGCCCATTGTAGACCAATTCACTTTAACATAAAAGAAAATACTTGTAAAATATGACATATTAATTGAATGTTTATAATTTAAGTTTGTGAAGTTTGCCAATATTGAAGAAGATACACCTTCCTATCATAGACGTTATGATTTCTTCGTGTCAAAGTTCAGTGCCATGTGTCACAGTAGTGCTGACTGTGAAACAGACAGATCCAAGTATGTACAACTTATTCACAGATTTCTTTATCAAGTAAGATGGCTTCAAAAACACAACAGGATAAGAATTTTAAAAGATGACATTGGTTCATAGTTGTAGAAGAAATTTTTCTCTGAGCTTACTACAGGTTAAGTTTTGGTTTATGATAAATATTGTTGTTATTGGAGAAGTTTGTCTGCTTATAATATACCGGTATGCTAGTATTGTAACATGCTTATATGTATATGCAAACCCTGGCCAGAATTTATAAGTTAGTAGAAAGTGAACAGCTTCATTTTCATGTATATACTTTTAAATGTGTTTATAAACACAATAGTTGTTTACTTCTTATGATAAAACTATTTGATAATTAAAAAACAAAAACAAACTTATTGAATTATAATAAGACAGGTCAGACCACTTAGTTCAATAAACAGAGCATTAGATTTGTAAAGCAGGGGTTACTGGTTCAATCCTTGGGTGAAGTGACATTTAGTCTCAGACATTGAGTTGCTGGTTCAATCCTGGGGTGAAGTAACATTTAGTCTCAGACATTGAGTTGCTGGTTCAATCCTGGGGTGAAGTGACATTTAGTCTCAAACATTGAGTGTAGTGGTTCAATCCTGGGGTGAAGTGACATTTAGTCTCAGACATTGAGTTGCTGGTTCAATCCTGGGGTGAAGTGACATTTAGTCTCAGACATTGAGTTGCTGGTTCAATCCTGGGGTGAAGTGACATTTAGTCTCAAACATTGAGTGTAGTGGTTCAATCCTGGGGTGAAGTGACATTTAGTCTCAGACATTGAGTTGCCTGGTTCAATCCTGGGGTGAAGTGACATTTTTAGTCTCAGACATTGAGTTGCTGGTTCAATCCTGGGGTGAAGTGACATTTAGGTCTCAAACATTGAGTGTAGTGGTTCAATCCTGGGGTGAAGTGACATTTAGTCTCAGACATTGAGTTGCTGGTTCAAATCCTGGGGTGAAGTGACATTTAGTATCAGACATTGAGTGTAGTGGTTTCAATCCTGGGGTGAAGTAACATTTAGTCTCATACATTGAGTTGCTGGTTCAATCCTGGGGTGAAGTGCATTTAGTCTCAGACATTGAAGTTGCTGGTTCAATCCTGGATGAAGTGGCATTTAGTATCAGACATTGAGTTGCTGGTTCAATCCTGCGGGTGAAGTAACATTTCAGTCTCAGACATTGAGTTGCTGGTTCAATCCTGGGGTGTAGTGAACATTTACGTCTCAGACATTGAGTTGCTGGGTCAATCCTGGGGTGAAGTGACATTTAGTCTCAAACATTGAGTGTAGTGGTTCAAATCTGGGGTGAAGTGACATTTAGTATCAGAACATTGAGTTGCTGGTTCAATCCTGGGGGTGAAGTGACATTTAGTCTCAGACATTGAGTGTAGTGGTTCAAATCCTGGGGTGAAGTGACATTTAGTCTCAGACATTGAGTGCTGGTTCAATCCTGGGGTGAAGTAACATTTAGTCTCCAGACATTGAGTTGCTGGTTCAATCCTTGGGGTGAAGTGACAAGTCTCATACATTAGTTGCTGTTCAAATCCTGGGGTGAAGTGACATTTAGTCTCAAACAGTGTAGTGGTTCAATCCTGGGGTGAAGTTTGACATTTAGTTCAGACAATGAGTATCTGGTTCAATCCTGGGGTGAAGTGACATTTAGTCTCAGACATTGAGTGTAGTGGTTCAATCCTGGGGTGAAGTGACATTTAGTCTCAGACATTGAGTTGCTTGTTCAATCCTGGGGTGAAGTGACATTTAGTCTCAGACATTGAGTGTAGTGGTTCAATCCTGGGTGAAGTGAATTTAGTCTCAGACATTGAGTTGCTGGTTCAATCCTGGGGTGAAGTGATATTTAGTCTCAAACATTGAGTGGTAGTGGTTCAATCCTGGGGTGAAGTGACATTTAGTCTCAGACATTGAGTGTAGTGTTCAATCCTGGGGTGAAGTGACATTTAAGTCCTCAGACATTGAGTTTTGCTGGTTCAATCCTGGGGTGAAGTGAGCATTTAGTCTAAAAACATTGAGTGTAGTGGTTCAGTCCCCTGGGGTGAAGTGACATTTAGTCTTAGACATTGAGTTGCTGGTTTTTCAAATCCCTGGGGTGAAGTGACATTTTAGTCTCAGACATTGAGTTGCTGGTTCAATCCTGGTTTGAAGTGACATTTAGTCTCAAACATTGAGTGTAGTGGTTCAATCTGGGGTGAAGTCATTTAGTCTCAAGACATTGAGTGTAGTGGTTTCAATCCTGGGTTGTGTTTCAAGTCCTTTGGGGTGAAGTGACATTTAGTCTCAGACATTGAGTTGCTGGTTTCAATCCTGGGGTGAAGTGACATTTAGTCTCAGACATTTGAGTTGCAAAAGTGTTCAAATCCATGGGTGAAGTGACATTTTTTTCTTTTAGTACTCAGACATTATGTGTTTTTTATTCATTCCAGAACTTTTTCAATAAAATAAAATTTTAAAATGTACCAAATTTTTAAAAACTGATTTTTAAATTTTAACAATTTTTCATAGTTTACGAAGGGGGTGGGGGGGGGTGGGGGAGAAAATAAAATTACCCCCAACTAAAAAATTATATACCCCCCCTACATTTTGTTTTTTGAAAAAAAAAAACTTCTAGATCTGGTTTCCTAAAAAATTAAATAAAATTAATCTTTAATAAATTTATTATATTAGAATGGTTTTAAAAGGTTAAAAAGAAGGTTAGGAGTGACTTTTTCTTACTTGATGGGGAAGAGGTTTTAGCCTTTTGTTTTTTGGGAAAATTTATCACAAAATTTGTAATTTTGGGAATAAAAAGCGGGTTTAAGTTAAGTATTTGGGGGAAAATGCATGTTTTTGAAAAAAAAAATTTAAATTTGGGGAAAGGGCCTTTTTCGGGGGTCTGTTATTAAGCAGAAAATCACTGTTAGGGATATTAAAGCTTATTTATCTATATTTTTTTGTTTATATTTGCTTATTTTAGTATGGGAGAATATAAAATTTTAAGTTAAAACTGTTTAATTCGAACAAGACAAATTTTATTTCAAAACTTTGAATTTTTCAAGGCGATGGGGTAACATAAAAAGGGGAGTATTTTTGTGTGAAAGAACAACCAAAAGGTAAGTTTGTCATGTAATTTGGGATGTTTATGTAGCAATAGTTCTTAACTTTAGTGATAGAGTTTTTACTAATTTAACCCCCTAAAACCCGCCTTATTGTAGGTTTTTCTTCTTTGAAATTTTTAACAGTTTAATTTTTTTGGATTTTCCTATCATTTAAACTGGCCCGCGTAAAAGTCGGTCACACTACATCATATCAGGCTGGCCCTGTCTCTAAACTGGTGGTAAAAAATGCCCCGCGTATAGTGGTCACACTACATAATATAAGGGTGGCCCGTTTCCCTTACTGGTGTAAAAACTGCCTGCAGTATAGCCCGGTTTACACATCTATACAGGCTGGCCTGTCTCTATCTAAAAGTTGAGTAAAAAAAAAAAAATAAATACATACTATTTCGGTGGCCTGTCTCTAAAAAATGGTGGTAAACTGTTGCATATACCCCGGTCCACTAAATTTTAAAATATACAGGTGGCCTGTCCTTAAATGGTGGTAAACTGCTTGCATATAGTCAGGTCACTACATACATTACAGGCTGCCGTTTAAATGGTGGGAAACTGTTTGCAGTATAGACAGGTCACATAATAAAATATACAGGCTGGCCCGGTCTATACTGGGGGGTAAAATGGGTTGCATTTTTAAATCAGGGTCACCTATTTACATATCAGACGGCCTGTCTTATACTGGAGATTAATGCCCGCAGTATTGTTTAGGTCACTACATAATATCAGGCTGGCCTGTCTCTAACTGGTGGTAAACTGCTTTCAGTATAGTCAGGTCAACTAAAATACATATACGGGGCCTGTCTCTAACTGGTGGTAAACTCCAGCAGTATACCCGGTCAACTACATACATATAAAAAGGCTGGCCTGGCCCCGACTGGGGGTAAAAATGCTTTCAGTATTAGGTTTCCTACATTAAAATAGCAGGGTGGCCTGTCTCTATATGGTGGGTTTTAACGCCCGCGTATAGTCAGGTCACACACATAATATAAGGCCCGGCCCGTTCCCATACTGGTGGGAAACTGCTTGCAGTATGTCAGGTCACACTACATACATATACAGGCTGGCCTGTCTTTTATTTTTGGTGGTAAAATGTTGCCCCGTATAGTCAGGTCACCTACCCTACATATACAGGCCCCGGCCCTTCCTATACAGGTGGTAAACCTCTTTTCAGTAAGCAGGGGCACAAAACAAAATTTCATATACAGGCTAGCCTGTCCTTTTACTGGTGGTAAACTGTTGCAGTATAGTCAGGTCAAACTACATTTAAACAGGCTGGCCTGTCTCTTTACAGGGGGAACTGTTCAGTATAGAGGGGGCACCTAATAATATTTTCAAGGGGGTTGCTTCTTATCTGGGAGGTAAAATGCCTTTGAGTTAGCAGGTAAAAAAAAGGCTGGCCTGGCTCTATTTTTGGGGTAAACTGCCCGCAGATGTCAGGTCACACTACATAAACTAAACAGGTGGGCCCGGCTCTATCAGGTGGTAAACTGCCAGCAGTATAGTCAGGTCACACTACATACATATACAGGCTGGCCTGTCTCTATACTGGTGGTAAACTGCCTGCAGTATAGTCAGGTCACACTACATACATATGCAGGCTGGCCTGTCTCTATCTGGTGGTAAACTGCCCGAGTAAGTCAGGTCACACACATAATATACACTGGGGCCCGGCTTATACAGGTGGTAAACTGCCCGCAGTAAATCAGGTCAACTACATCATAGCAGGGGGGCCTGTCTTTTATAAGGTGTAAATGCCTGCAGCATAGTCGGTTACACTAATACATATGCAGGCTGGCCTGTCCTATACTGGGGAAAATGCTGCGTATAGTCAGGGGACACTAATACATTAAGGGTGGGCCCGGTCTATTTGGGGGGGGAAACTGCCAGCATATAGTCAGGTCACACTACTAATTGCAGGCTTGGCCTGTCTCTATACTGGTGGTAAAATGCCGCGTATATCGGGTCAACCCTACATACATATACAGGCGGCTGGCTCTATACAG